CTGTCTAGTGTCAGTTTTACTGTGTGTGCTGCTGTTGAGATGAAGCCAGACTTGCCAGCTTCCTCAAGATCACTTTCCCTTCAAATGGATCACAAAAGGTGATTTCTACTCGCAGGCGTTTGGTGTGCAGCTCAGTGGAGAGCAGGGGGGAACGAAGTGTGAACTATCAGTTCTTACAGCAACAGCTGGAGTCTATCCTCTCTGGGTGAAATTACAGAACCCCTCCTATAGAAAATGTGAAAAAGAAGGTTAGCGAGAGCTGCAGATCTGACAGCTACTAAAGTGTGGAAGTAATTTTATTAAAATGAGATGTCAGTGAAACATGAGTCCTCCTCTAATTACTAGCTACTGGTGATTGTGATCTTTTCCTAATGGGAAAGGCACCTATTGTAATCTAAATTATTGTACAGAATTAAGAACATCATCACCATGAGCTCCTCAGAATTTTTTGGCTACTTACAATCGTATTGTTTTCAGACTTCTACTAAAACACTTGAAGTCTCTCCAAGGCTAATGAAAGCAGATTATATCAAAGATAAGCATCTGTATAAGAGGTGTGTTGAAAGGTGTCAAGTAGCAGATAATCAGAATATTAGAGCCACGATCTCGCAGGTCACTTGAAGCTAATAACCATGAAACAAGGTGAGAATGGGTTACATGTTTGTCTTTTTTGCCAATTTGTATTTTAATCATGTTAATACTAACTGATTTTGCCAGTAAAAACAAAAACTTGTTTCCTCCATGTAGAGAATTGTGGCCTATAACGAGTAGCAAAGCATGAGTGTGGATCAGTGCATGCAAGTGTAATGGGGTTTAGAGGGAAAGCCAGCAGGGGGTCTTCAGGCCTCCTTGGTGCTTTGTAGAGGCTTTAACAGACAGTGAAGAACATGGGTGTTGACAGGGGCCCAAGTGAGAGCTGTAATGCGCTGTACATCTCCATTTGCACTCAGTGTTTCGGAGCTGCTTGCTCGTGTGTTATAGGTGGATGCTTGCACGTTTATAAAAACATCACTCACTTTTTTCATCAGCAGAAATATTTTATAGCATTTTTCTGAGGTTTAATAGAGGTCTGTAGAAGTATTTTTAAAATATGAAACACAACTTGTTAAAAATAAAAGTGCATCTTTCATCTAAAATGTCTTAGTAAGCATTGGTTGTAAGTAACTAGATGTACATCTTGAAGTACATCACTCATGGGTTAATGCAGTATTAAAACAAATTTGGGTGTGAATGAATACGTGTGTGTGTTTGTGTGTGTGTGTGTGTGTGTGTGTGTGTGTGCATATTGCATGTGTTGTAAGTGCTAGGAGAAATAAAGGGAGCTCTTTCAAGTCTACCCTGTCTTTTACACCTTGTGTATTTACACATCAGAGATGAGAGTCTGAGAGTCTGTCTGAGCTGTCTGACTCACCCTCTGCAGTCTGACCCCAGGATGAGCTGCTGTTGTAAACTATTGTATCAATCAGTCGCGCTACAGTGTATTTGATTTCATTTTTAACTTGGTTAACTTACACTCTTAAGTTTTATTTTCTCAAATGAACGATCAATTTAAAAATATGAACAAAGCCTTTCTCAAAAATTAAAAGAATATAAATGTTGTAATTAGCTGTGCTGTATTTTTTCTTACTTAAAAAAAATTAAACAAAGAGTCAAATAAACCTGATTAGCTTTTCAATAACATGGTATCTTTATCTGCATTAAAGCTGCAAGTTGGTGCTATTTATCAAATAACAGCATTTCCTTGAGAGGGAAACAGATTGCATGCTGGCCTGCTACAGACTTCATCAGGTCATGTGAATTGATGATACATGTTGCAAGGCGGCTGAGTTCCCCCCGGAAACCTCTGCTGGAGCGCGTGCTGGCAGAGATGGGGGCCTCAGCCAAGTCTGTCTGACTGATCACTACAGATGCTCCTCTTCAAGTATTCCGAGTCAGATCCTTAGTGCTGGGTCTTGAGGGACAAACAATAGCACCTGTTCCTCATAAGATAGCCCATTCATGTATCTTTAATGAAGCCTGGGGGCAGATGGTGTGAAATGACATTATCCAGTACTTAGCAGTGCTAAGACAAAGGAAGAGCAGTGCCAGCACAACAATGCCGCTGTATTTACGAGGAGAAGGGAGGACGCTGCCCAAGTGGCCCGCTCACATCTGCTCCACTTCATTCTCTGACTCCTCAAGATCATCTTGGCAATAGAAATATCCTGGGCACTCAGCCCATACATAGATGAACTTGAGGGAGAGTAGAAGGCAAACATATGTATGCACTTTTTTCTTTCTCTGTTTAAAAAAAAAAAAAAACTTCTTTATTTTTTTTCTTCTAATTTGCTTTAACCGTCAGTTTTTTTCTTAAAAAGCTCTCGTGAAAATGTAAGAATCTGCTCAGCCAGTGTGCCAGCGGTTAATTGACAGTTCAACTAACCTCTACTATTTGTTGCCACCTTGAAGCTCCTCAAAATTTGATTTGCCTTTCTCTGACATTAGTTGCCGTAAATTAAACTTTAATGCGTGGAGCTCATTACTGCAAATCACAGCAATTCAAACTCAATGCATTTATTTCCCCTTCAACGCACATTTACACTCTGTCTTGCCTCAATGAATCCTGTATAAACTGCTCCATATTTTAAAATAATAATAGTAATAAAAGCTGATATCCCAGATGAAATTATATCATTTACATTTGGTGTTGCTGGAGAAAAATATGTCCAAGTATTTGCTGCCTTTTGCTGATGTCTATACTGTATTTCATCTGTATACATCTTTTGTGCAAATTCAGTTATTTTAATTAATGTAGTCACACAAATAATTAAAAGCAAATTAATATGGAATTGAGTGAATGATGTAAAATATTTAAATACTTTTAATTGCGCACCATCACACTATTGTTCCCTCATGTGAAGAAGCTGTTCTCCTGGTTGTTGCTCAGTTTGTTCTGCTGGTATGATTTTAAAAAGGATGATTATAATTATGTTCAAGAGCGTCCTTAACATTAGACCATTACACTTTAAGGTTGCATGTACAGCAGTCTCACAAAGATGTTTGGACTTAGGAGAGTGTTTGAATGTGTGAATTTCCCAGCAAGAGGAAATATGGACAGAGAGCTGTGAATGATATGCTTACTTTGAAAAACTGAAGTCAAGAGTCATCACTCCTGGAAATAGAGTGAGCATGTTTTTTGTTTTCTCCATTTAGCTGAAATATTTGACAGTCAGTAATTTCATTTAAGAAAAAAAAATTACACAACTTTTAATTTACTACTAATGCATGTTAGTTAATTCATGAAAATGTATGAACTACCATGCAGCACATTTACAACACATATGGAGGGATGTGGACTTGAGGGAGCCCTTTCTGTCCTGTGACTACCACACATTCAGCTACAGACTCCATCTGGTTTTACAGTCCAAATACACAGACAGAGAAAAGCTGTGTTCCCCAGTGTCCCCCCGCCTGTCACTGGCCCTACCTCATGTTGTGACATTAATTATTGTGTTTTTCCATATGTTCCATACATGCAAGGCCAAGATCCATCTTTCATCCATTCAGCCTGGAAACTTGGAACACAAACCCTATAAAGCAATGTTTTATTTAAGGTCATTTGTCGCAGTCTCCTTGGACATTTATTTTTCTTCAGCAACAGCACATTTTACAGAATTACTTCTAGAAGAATTACATACTTTTCTATTCTTCCATAATGCACTTTCTGCACTTGCACTTCTGTAAAAGCTCAGTAGACATAAATGGTTCTATTTACTTAGTTTTCAGTCTAGCTCTGCACCTCTGGACAGATCAATAAAGTAGTTTTAAGTAGGTTTAGCGTGATAGCTGTGAGAGAAACTGGGTGCGACTACTCTGGTAAAGGGTCTACAGGGGAAGCAGCACAGGCTGAAAAAGTGGAGATCATAGCAGACCTCAGCCAGAACATGGGGGAAAAGTCGTTGCTCTGAGCAGGTTGATTTCATGCCCCAATGCAGCGGCAGTAATTGCACCCAGACCCGTTTTATTGCGAGTTGATTTTAAGGAGGGATGAATGGAGAAACATTCTGTAAAGTGTTTATTTTGGGGGATGACCTTTATTAACCCATTTTCCAGGCAGGTTCCCTTGAGGTGGCCTGGCTCAGTACTAGATTAACTCTTGCAGGCCCATGGTAGCCCGGCTGCTCCCCATCATAAAGTTTCAGGAAGCGGAGAATGACAGTGAGATTGGAGCTTGCAACATGTGTGCAAAACCCCCACCCGCCACTTTTGAGACATAAGCTACTCACCCACCCTTGACACACACATGCAGGGAGTTTGTGTTGATATCCCCAGAAGGCAAGTCAGCAACAGGCTGAATGGTGAAGGTTAATATGTGAGTGGAACAGACAGACACAGAATGACTTTAAAATGAAATACAGCAAGTGGCAAGTGCTTTTCAACTGCCTGCTGTTTTTCCTCTGCCGAAAACAGTTGTAGTAAATTACTGGGTTGTCTTTAGGCTTTTATCATCTAAATAAATGATCGTCCATGATTATGTGAGTCTTTGATTTTCCCTTGAGGTGAGTATGTGTACATGCATGTACATGCTGATCAGTCCTGTCTCTGCACCTGTGTAATACATTCGACAATCCTCTTGCTGACATGTTGTATTTACTGCAACAGCCTGGATGTTGGTGAATGCTTCTTTCAACACTTACAGTACTTCTCTACAGAAGCCAACAGACCTACCGAGCCTCTCTGCTCTCCGTCCTGCATGTCGCTTCCTCTAACTGATGCTGGAACAATGTGCGTGTGCAGGGCCTTTGATGTACTGAGGTGAAATTGTGGTTTGGATTAAGAGCAGGCGTAGCTCGGCTAGGTATTGTGTGAGCACACGAGGGCCGTCATTGCCGCAGAGCCTCCTGTCAGCACGCGTTAGAGAGAGCTGTGATCTGGCCTCCCCCTGAGTGGGCTCTGTGTTTCTGTGTACCATACCTATGCTTAGGCCTCTCTCTGATCTCTGCTCCCTATCTGTTCAGCAGGTCCAGGGTCACATGCCTCCGCTCATGATCCCCATTTTTCCACACGACCAACGCACTCTGGCAGCAGCCGCCGCCGCCCAGCAAGGCTTTCTCTTCCCTCCGGGAATGTCTTATAAGCCAGGTATGCTTGCAACTTAAGTCTTCATTTTGTTCTGCCCCCTTTTCCTGTCTGCTTGCTATGTCTTTGATTCATAATTATAATTTTTAGTCATAAAGTTGTCACACAACTTAATACATAACAAATATATAGTAACAAACATGTGCTTGATTCACACTTGAGACAACTGACATGCTCTGTTCTGTCTGAACTTGGACTTGGGACCAAGGCCTGGGAATGCTCTAGTCCATGTGGAACAATAGATATGGGCAGAGAAGCAGAGGAATGTAAACATGTCTTCAACATGAAAGTATCTTTCAGGAGTGTGCTGTGCTGGCTGTAATCGTTTTTCAAGTATCCACTGTTAGAGATCCAATAAGACAGGGGAGGAACCCTGCAAGAAACCTCTTTCTATTGTTAGCAGTTTTATTAAAGTTTCACACAATCATGCCTCTTAACAGTGTAATTAAGTAATTTAAAGACAATTATAAGGTGGGTAGTTTTTGGATGATGTAAGGAACTGGTTTTCCTGCACATAAATTTTCATTGCTTGTAACGGCATGCCCCTTTCACTTCCTTTGTCTTACGAATTGACTAAAGTCAGGCTCCACAGCTTTCAAAAGAAAAAAACAGTAAAGAAATGTTTTTTGAAAAATTGTTGCAACATGTTTACTGATTCCCTGCCAAAACAGTAACTCCATACACCCTCATATTCTTGTGAAAATTAAAGATGTGCCACCACACACTACTGTACTCATTAAATTAAAATAAATAAATAAATAAATAAAAAGGATCAATGGTAAATTTCTCCCTGCTTCTCAGTTAACGCTTTTTCTCTCACACGGTTTACTTGGTCCCAAGGCCAGGCAATTTTTGGACAAATCTATGACTGATTTAACTGAATCACAGAATTTGTAGATTTTTAAAAAAACGTTTTCCTGTTTTCTCTCCCACACATGTAAAGTGAAGGAGACAGTGTTGTGTTAATGAAACATTCTCTGTGAAAAAGAAAAGGATTTATGAGTGAGCTACAAAAAAAGTCCGCTTTTCTGTTGTGAGACAGTGCTAGAACAAGGAGGAGGGCAGAAAATGGAAAAAGAAACACTAGGAAGTCAGCAGGTTCGCAGCAGAACATTAAAAAGGTGTGGTAGCGCAGTTAATGAATTAACTATAAAACCACAGGATGAAAAAGAAAGTCAGCTATTTTGGAACTATGGAGCCATGACAGCTTAAACAAAGTGCCTGAGGGGGAGTCTTTTACCAGTGTGCTTTCTGCAATAGGTTTGACACGGAAAATGTTTTAGTTCAAATAACAGGAGCTATTATGGAATCATGGTCAGGGGTCGTCATGTGTATGGTTCTTGCATAATTCATGAGTTCATGGAGAAATAGCAAAGGGGGTCTGAAAATGACTCTCGTAGTCAGGAGAGGTATTTTTAAACCTCTATTATTTCCCCCCATCCAACACAATATATCCAGAGAGTACAATGTTATCACCACCACCTGCAGGGTATACAGGATGCTGTCGTGTCTTTTCTCCATGAAGTGAGTGGCCAAGCATTCACTTCCAAGACTAAGGCACACTAATCTGATGTTATCATTATGAGACAGCCCCCAGGGACCACTGCTTATGACCCCCAGCCCTGTGGTGCTCACATGGCAACAAAGTCATTCTAGCACCATAGTGGTAAGTCATCACCCCATCCACTGGCTGTGCTCAATGGCCTGGTGTTGCACGGTAGACAAGCACAGTCATAGAAATACCGACTCATCTTTTAAACAAATAGATGCAAGTCGGACTTCCCAGTATGTTCGCACTGTTTACACAGACATGGCAGCATTCAGTCTGATGTACTTCTAATGGACCTGCAGAATGACCCCATAGTCTTTGGGTTCCTCTGCCAGTCTTTCCCATAAGCATCCTGCTGACAGTTGGCAGCTTGCTCATGCTATTTTATTTTAAATCTTGTATTTTTACCACATTTTAGTCGTCATTTTTGAACCCATTCTCTGATACTGTGGTCTTTGTAATGCAAGTTACTCCAGTTCGACAACATGGTTTCTTTCTTGATATACAGTAACTTAAATAAATTAGGTTTGGTAATTTAAGGGCTTTTTTCTATTGTATAGGCCTCATCAGATCTACTGAAGAAATCTTCAGTGAAAATTATATACCTGTATATTCATTTGTATGTTTTTCAGTGAACAGCTTTGGTAATTCATGAAATTTAAAAAGGCAGTGAAAAGACAGGATAAAGCCTACGTGATACAGTCATATAGTTCATTCATCATCATTTGATCAGGTCTAAGAAAGGTCTCAGCTGCCTCTGCCAACCCTTACCAGATCTATGACTTATATTTCATGGTATCACATGAGGGAAATATAGCCTGTTGTGACCATGGCGTCACCTGAACTACTTCCCCCCTTTAGCATGCAGGGTTCAGGCTCTGGGCGTGGGACCAGCCATCACCAGTTATTAAAACAAACAAACAAACAAACAAAAAAAAAAACAGAGTTTTAAACGCAGTTCAATTTGAGCTGTGACGCTGACCTGGCACAGTGCCCATTCTACTGGAGTCTGGTGCCTCCACACAGACTGTGTGCACCCAAGACCCAGACCTTGGAGCCCGAGACCCCCAGGCAGCGGGGGTGTGCTCACTTAGCACATGACCCTCCCCAGGTTTCACATGACATCTAAAGACATCCAGCCATTTATTATTCCCAAATCCTACGTCACAGACAGCACAGAGGTAGAGAGACAGAGAGAAAGCCATACCAAAAAGAGGAGGTGTAGAAATAACCACAGTGCACCCCCCACACATCCAACCCTGCACTATTTGAAACCACTTCTGCTGTGTGATTTTATTTGCTACTAAATGGGGATTGAATTTCCATGGCCTGTATCACATTGTGCTGTGCTGTACAAGATTGCAAAGTGAGGCGAGCGGGCGAGGGCAAAGTGAAAGAGAAGGTATATACATTTACCTTGTCTGTGGCTTAATGGCTCCATATGTTTGTGAGGAGAAGTGACAGGCAGAAGTGGGGTCTGAGCGAAGGCCAACTACCCCTCCCCGCTCCCCACTGTGCACCCCACCTCCACTCCTCCAGACACATGCTTCAGACCAACCTCCCCTCTATGAACGCTGTGCTGCCCTGTCTCACTGGGGCTGTTCTGTCTGTCTCAACACACTAGGCTGAATGTGTAAAAGCTTCTGCACCCCCATGGATATCACTCATACTGCAGCCGTTTTTTTATATCCCTGTCTGACAAACGTGCTGATGGCGGGCCAACAGCAGTGAATAGTAATGAATAGTGCTGCTATTTGGAGACCAATTCTTCCTTGTGAGATAAAAAAGTGTGTGTGTTTTGTTTTTTTTTTCTTGTTATTGTGAATGCACACTTGTTCTAACCAGTTCACATACAAGTGCTTTCACTTTACTCCCAAAGCTATCACTGAAACACAAACAATGAAGTGTTGAACAATAGCCAGGCAAGTCTACAGCTGTATGAACTGCCTGAGAGAACACGCTGGGCCTTTTACATAATCGCTAATTGAATACCATGTAAGTTACTTAACATTTATTGTGTATACAAACACACACACACACACACACACACACACACACACACACACACACACACACACACACACACACACACACACACACACACCTTAAAAGAGTTCCTTACTCGTTAAACTATGTAGTAGTTATTGCTGTCATGGTATTTTCCAGGAGGAGTAGAGTGCAGGTGGAGGAAGGAGGGAATGATGTGGAACGTTCCTAAGTAATCCTGCTCCAGTCAAACCAGCTTAGCCTTTTGTTAATGCAGATGTTTGGGCTTGAAGCCGAGGGCTCGTTGCAATGTGCCACATTGCTGTGGCATGGCAGTGGAGGGCCCAGGCTCCGTGTTGGCACTTGCCTGGCCGCTGTGGGCCGGCTCATTGTCTGAACCTGTATGCATTGTTGTCTGTCTCTCCCTCTCTGACAGGTGATAACTACCCGGTGCAGTTCATTCCATCCACAATGGCAGCTGCAGCAGCGTCAGGACTCAGCCCCCTTCAGCTTCAGGTATGTACGGTACTATGACAAAGAATGCTAGGGAAGCCCGCCAAGCCTAGGGCAGAAAGGATGGCTAAGCAGCTGTACGCTAAGTAATGAGCTGCACACTAAATAATCCTGGAGGCCCCCAGCTCACACACGCTTATCACCTTACATATGTAATTTATCCCGTTTTATAGAGGATTTATCCCCACTAGCTCTGCCAGACAGAGGAGTAAGGAAGATAATAGTTATTAGAGGGAATGAGAATCACTTTGGTTGCTTTAATCACCTGCCAGTGAATTTATCAGAAGACAATTGACTGCGTAAGCAAAGAATGTCTTTTTTATTGCTTTTATCTAGAAAAACTGCTGTAGTACTTCTTTTATCTCTGTGAGGAAAACAAGTAAGAAGAAAGAATGGATAAAAATCTGAACAATTCTAATATGTATGTAGTAAAGGCAAACTCATAGTATGTAATACAACATGAGGATGAGTAGGGGCTCAGAGCGGCAGAAAATGTTGGGATAGGCTCCAAGCCCTACAGGCTCCTCCAGGACCTTTCTCAAACAGCATCTAAAAGAGCTGAACCCAGGTCATACCTTAACCCGAGGCCATAATGTTTAATATAGATAATTATCTGTGTTCTATCCTTCAAGTTACTATTAGTAATACTACTGTTACCTCAACACTCTCAGCATATGCATGAGCTTTGTTTCCAAATCGGTGATCATGATTCTTTTAACTTTTTACTTTAATTTTCATGAAAAACATACAACGGGAAGCTGAATAACAACCATATTTATTCTGCTTGCTTCCTTTGCAGTTGTGAGTAACTGCAGATTTTAAGTCTGTTCGAAACTAATCAGTGCTGCTCTTTGGAAATAAAAGAAGGAAACAAAGGATTGAAAAGCATTTCTCCTAACATATGGTTAAGTCGCCACTGCTGCTTTGTCAGCAACAGCAAAAATGGACTGAAAGCTGCGTCATGTGATGCTCGACAGCAGAGAGAAGTATGACAAGATTAAACAAGAGAGCTAAAGACTGTGGGGGGGAAAAACTTTGCACAGGTGTCTGCGAGAATAAAAGATGGAGGCTGTGTAGGTGAATATGTTGCTAGAGTGTATATATTTCACTTAGTTTGTGTATCATAGTAAAGTCCAGTGGAAAGGGGTGGTTGTTCAGACAGGCATGCTGAGTCTATTTATAGTGGTGTATGAGGTCAGATGAGACAGTCATATATCTGAAGGTTGGGGTGAGGAGGGGAGACGGGTCTAGAGTCATTAATTCTGATTATGTATCTAACCCTGGGAACGGGCAAAAACAGTGCCTCCAAGACCATGACTTGGCTGACCTTTATAGAACACAGTAAACAAAAAGAGGTGCATTTTCCATTAATTGAAGTCTGTCAGCCTGTCACATATTCCGCCTGCTGGCTGCTATTTACCCTGCATAGAGACTCCCATTAAAATAGCAAGGCAAGTCAAACATGCCCTTTTCTACATAGCTGGGATCAACAAACCATGTGACTGCCACCACTTCCTCTACAAAGCACTGAGAGCCCGCTATGATTAAAAACATCATATCAACCCAGACATGGAATTAAGTTAGAGTCTTCTCCTCCCTTTTGGAGCAATAATAGCACCAGCACTCTCCCTCGTCTTCAAAATCTAACTATTGAAAAGTGTGCTTTAATACACTTGTGAGTGCAAAGGAGGCAGAAAAGAAATCTTATAAACAATGCCGAGATCCCAACACAATAAAAAAAAAAAAAAAAAAAAGGGATCATTTAATCTGAACTGAAACAAAATAAGGAGACACTTTGTCTGGTAAGTGGTGCAGTGAAGTACCCGTGACTGCACTCTAGATGTGTCTTAGGGTTAACAGTATTAAAATGAAATGAAATAAAATAAAACAAAAAGCTGATGGAAGGCTCCCCTGAAAATATGACTTACCTATTATATTATTGAGTTTATTTTTCATGCATCATCAAGCACAAGACTAACCCTTTAAACTGTCCTAAACTTTTCTAGCTCCACCTCCAAGCCCATTCTTTATCTTCCTTACACAACACACACACACACACACACGCAAAATCTCATACACATATAGCTGAATAGGTTGCCCCCCCCACTCCCAATTAAAATATCTCTTCCTGTCAGCCGCATGGCAAGGTATAATTTTCACCAATTTACTCAGTTTAGATTTTGCAATATATGAACCTTAAAAATTATCTTATTGGAAGAATTAATTCCCACAATGCTGCAGAGGTAATGTGATCAGCCATCCAGTCAGAAAGGCTAGCCGCTCCGTCAGTCTTAATGTTGGCCACGCAGCCTCTTCACAATCTCCTCTGTCATAACAGTCTGGGATCCCCACCCCCCAGCCCCTGCCCTTTCTCTCTAAGAGAAGAAAACCCAACAAGGTAACAAAGGCTTAAAGCTGATGGATGTAAATGAATCTTCGAGGAAGCGTTTGAGTGTTGGAGACTGTAATTTGCTTGTCAATACAGGGTGGTAGCATCACTCTGGTGGCTGGCAGTCTGCAAGTGGCTGTCACCAGGCATTGCTGTACCACAGGGCAATTTCACTCAATGTTTTCCTGACAGATTGGCTCTCGTTCTCAACTCACAGGAGAGGAGGCGGGTAAACTATCCCTGCGCGACATGCCCCTCTTCATTAGTGCCCACACAGAGCCGGGATGAGCCCGGGACCAGCAGGAAACAATGGCTCCATCCCTGCCTGTCCTTCCCTGATTACAACTGACACCTCTCACCTAACAGAGGAAATTGTGTTCAGATTGTAGCCCAATCTGTCCGGACACCTACTATATTCAATTGAGTGAAGAGACAAGAAGGGAATTTCCCTAATTCGACAAAAGAATTTTCTATTTGGGGTAACACTTAATTTGCTGTTTGTACACTATACCTTGCATCAGTTGCCAAGTGAAAAACAATTTACTTAAGGCCAATATGAACTTAATATATGTGACCCGTCCTTTTTACAGAGCCAATAAACAGGAGGACCTTTGAGAAAGTCCTGTTGTTTATCATTGGAAGCAGACTTTGGGGCTTAAGCCATTCTAAAGAAAGCATTAATAGAACATCTGGGTTATCTGTATGTATTATCACCATGGACTAAATAAATACAAATCCTCTGATTTCACTCAGTCAAAGTTTCATTTTCTATCTCTTGCTTCCTCTGTCTCACTGTCTTGCTTTTCCAATTTCCCATCCACATCTCGAATCTTCTCTAAGTGTCTTAGTTTGTGTATTTCTCTCTCAATTACTCCCATCCTCTTTTCTTTTCTTGTTCTGTCTGAGTGTTACACTTGCTCTGTTTCCCCCTGAATTGTCCAGGCCCATCAGATCCTTATGCTTTACAGTACTGGAAGTCAAGCTGCTTGAGTAAGACTTAACGCTGCAATTACCATCCACCGCATTTGCTGTGGCATCTCTCTAGGCCCATGATAAACCTGGGCCCAGCCTCAGCTGACGCTCCCACTATAAAGATGAAAAGCAGCCCACATGCTCAGCGACAACTTGGACCGATCTCAAGCAGACAGACATATCTGAAGGAGTCCTCAGTGGCTTAGACTGGAGTGATAAGAAAGAGTGTTACACAGTCAGGGACAAACAGGAAGAAAGTGGGAGAGCAGCAAACTGCACATTATCTTTTGTTTGGATGTAAACGTCTGTGTAGTACAGATGTGAAGAAACGGCTTCCATCATTAACAAGTGAAGCACTTTTGACTTTGAAAGAGAGAGAGGGAGAGAGAGGAGGAGGAGGGGAGAAAAGAGAGAACAGACATACTGTAGAGAGCAGCTGTTTCTGTGTTTATGAGCAGAGGAGCTCGGTCTTTGAAGGTAACCCAGAGCAGTGCAGCAATGCTAGCTGTGTGTGGAAGTCTGGCTAATAGGACGGCTAGGTGAGCAGCTGGATGGAGGCAGTGGTGAACAGAGGGACAGATGGACAGATAGAGTGGATAATGCAGTGAGCAACTTTGAATGGGAGGGCTGGCTCTGGGGCCCCTGGGCTTGGAGAAACCCACACACACTTACACAAGGCAGACTGTGTTTGTGTGTGTATGTGCCAGAGAGAGAAAACTGATAGAGAAGGACTTAAATATATATACTGTAGATGTAAGATAGAGAAATAGAGAAAGCCAAGAGGAGGGAGGAGGGGTGAGGGCAGAGCAGGTTGGGTGCCAGCAGACGAGACAGATGTTGGGCCATACTGGAAAGCATCGGCACAGTGCACCAGGACGCCTTGCTCCACTCCTGACATCTGGGCCTAGCCTGGGTCAGCCTGCCTGGTCGCCATGGGCAATGAGCCTGTACAAGCCTTGTGGCAAACGGGGCTGGCGCTGTGCTGCCTTTTAAATGGTGTGGTGCACTGAAGCACAGTTAATGCCCTCATATCCAGCCCAGTGCTCAGCGCCCAGGCCAGACAGAGGTGAATGAGACATTGACAGACAGACAGACAGACAGACTCACTTGCAAAACAAAGAGACATGGGTGTGATTAATAGAGTACGGCAGTCATCAGATAATACTCATCTCGTGTAAAATGCAGAGGATGTCAATTGGTATTAGGAATTGTTTGGCTTTTAGGCAAATATTTTAGTATTAATTTTTATATTTTTGCACGCTGCAGTTGTAAATGTGCAATACACCATCCTTGCTGGAAGCAACAAATCTGACAAATATCTGCCACTGTATTTTCCAGCACATACTTCCATGCCTCAGAAAGTTTTTTTTAATCTCTCTACTACAAGGCATATGTTCTTGTGTTTGCAGAAAGAAAAAAAAAAGCATAGATGGAAGTTATGAGACAATGAATGATATATATTGAGCCATAGTATCAGCTATGTTGTTTAACTAAACAAACGAGGCTGCCCATCTTAATTGAATATCATACCATTGAGATGTCTAACATCATCAGCAGAGTGTGTAATCTCAGTTTAATGTCACAGGCAGAAAAGTGAACCTCCCTGTTTAACCTCTACTGCCTCCAGAGGGCTTGTTTTTAATTACCAGAGGCTAACAGGCTGACCTTGGGCATGCTGCATTCACTTTGAATCCATGCTTGCCGAGATCTGCTCCGCTCTACTGGGAAACAGGGAACGATGGGGTCAGAAGAAAAACCTTAGATTGTGTTTGTGCTCCCCCTCATGTATGCTTGTTATTTCTGTATTAACATAGTGCTGTTTTTAGGAAAAAGGCAAATCCTTTCAAGGCACTAAAGAAAAAAAATGTTGCATTATAATATTGGTTATACAAGCACACTTTTAACAATGGAACATGGCATGTAGTTGCTCCTTCCGTCAAGCTGAGAGAACACATGTAATGTGCATTTCTTTTTCGTCAGATTTCTTTTAACGCCCACATTGCAAGCTCATTAGCTATTATTTCCTTTTGCAATTTTCTAACATCATACAAGCTGTGCCTTAGTGTGCTGCTCTGTGGCTTTTCATCAACAGAAGTATAATATGTGTCCTAGAAGATGGCAAAAAAGAAAACAACTAGTGTTAGGAGTGTAGAGGGGAAAAAGCAAGAGAAAATGGAAACAGAAGGGCCCCGAGCTCCACTCTGGCTTTCGCCTACTCCTCTAATACCCCAGAGTTGGAGCATTGACTTTCAGCTTGACCCTCATTACCATGAACCTTTTGCTGCCCCCACCTGGCAAGTAGATATGAAGAAGGGGCTATTAGAAGTGAGAGAGTCAACTGGGGGAAGCAGGCAGATGTCTTCTGCTTAGGGAGACCAGCCTTGGCAGGATGCATCATCCTTCAGCCTTTGACATCAAAATGCCCGTTATACTGAAAACTTCCTGTAATGTTTCATGAGGTTGTTGTTTCTAACTGAAGTAAATGCCGAATGTCAATTTTGTAATATGCTGCAAACATATTGTCTTCTTACCAAGCCACAACATAACACCAAGGCAAAGGCATCCAGATTGTAAACAATGAACACTGATGTACTTCATATCTGTCCTTAAGCAGCGTATGGTGGGTTAACACACCTTTCATCTGTCTTTCCCTCTGATTATATTTATTGTTCTTTGGCTCTTGGAGGTAGACTGTTCCTGGTTACAAGGGTAGCTCTTGCTTCTCACCCTATGGCACTGACCTGCTAATCAGTGCTGAAAAGGGGCATCCTGACTGCGTCTAATTTGAGGCAAAGTCTAATTACGCTCTTTTTCCGGGACAATAAAGTTCTTCCCATTCAAGGTCAGGGGCATGCCAGAGCGACAGGCCTGTTAGCAAACATCTGTCCAACAGACTCTGCTTCCGCCCTTCTACTAAGACTCATGTGTAGCCTGGAGTGACAGCCAGTGAATGGAGTATCCCCTCTCTCTCTTTCTCTGTCACTGCTTTTCTCCCCTCACACACATACACAGACACACAGAGTGCCTTTACCACTGACATTAACTGAGTCTAGCTCAGATGAGGAGAAAACAGAGTTGGGTCTGCTCCTGTGTCCAATCCTGTCAGAGACAAAAGGCTGTTTGTGAGGGAGGTGGGGGCAGTGCTATCATTGTGGGAACATAATCAGTCTGTCATTTCCGCTGCCCATGTGCTGTTGTTATCCCCAGGTCCCCTGGAAGAATGGACCTTTTGTACTGCCGCTTATGTGGCAGTGATAAAGTTTCTTACAAGAGCACATATGTGTTTATATCTGGAGATATGTGCGTGGACATAAAGTGCTTTGTTTGGCTTTAGCCTGCATCTATACCACCGAAGGTGAGGCCAGCGGGGCCATGTCACTTTTCTCCTTCCACACAAATGCAGTCTGTATATGGCCAGTCAGACCAGGAAATGAGAAAGGGTTTGCTGATTGGCCAGAGGAAGAGAAATTAGATTCTCCCTGACAGCACCATCTGACTGAGTAACACAACAAACCATAAGGTTTACCTAGTCTGAAGAAAGCAGGCCAGTGGGGGAGTTAAGGGGCGCTATCTGTCTGATGAAGTGAGGTCTAAGATTACATGGAGTAACACTCTTTCCCAGACAGTAGGTCTATTTGACAGACCCCTGCCATTTGCAGCAGGAGACAAAAGCCAATTTCATCACTTACCTGGTGGCCAATCAATGCAGACCTGGGGCGGAAAGAAGTCTCAGTGGTGCGGGAGTGCTGGGCTCTGTGGGCACAGAAAAACAAGCACAAAAATAATCATTAAATCAAATCAGTCAGGTATTTGTTTCAGATTTTTAATGATATAAAAAATAGACACACAACATAATGTCATGACATTAAACTGTAACTTTATCCAGGATAAAAGATGAATTACTATGTCAAAAATCTGATCCAACAGACAATTAGCAGTCTGTGGCCCGCCAGATATATTTTTTTAAATACTTCCAAACCTTCATATCAACGTCTTTAACCACCCTTTCTAGTATATGCCGTGTAATTAGTCCAGTGGTGGAAATGTAAATTGAGCTTTCAGAGTTCAACCCTGTTACGGGCAGAAGTGTTATTGAGTGCTTCGCCAGTCATTTGAACCACCCACTTGTGTGGTAATGTCACCAACAGTTGGACATCTTACTGATTTACCGCCAAGGAAAATAACGGTGATTACATCAGTGTTCTTTGTGCAGGTTTCTAAGCCTTAATAATGCTTGTGTTTAAAATATTCTGTGATGGCAATCCAACTGAGGTTGGGTTTCTAACATTGTGGAATGGGACTGTCTCACATGGCACTGTGGAGACAAATCACAGGCTACAAACTTCAATAGGAAGCTGTGTAGATCTAGAGAAATGAGAGATCTTTGCTAACACACTTGCATCCAGTCGGCAAACTTTTCTCTGTGATGAGTGGAAAATAGGGGCTCCAAGTATTTTGAATGAAAGCCATCTCTGTGTGGTTTTTAAGACTGCTGTCTCTCTCTGGGTTCAGCCTTTGAAATACAGTTAAGACCTTTGATGGAGGTTCTCTGCCAGCCTCATGGAAAGAGAGGAAAGACGTAAAAGAGAGAGAGGGGGAGATGAAGGCAGACACAGAAGCGGAGAGTTCTAGGGAGAGGAAAAGACAGAATATAAAACTTTGAATGTTTGCTGGATTTGGATGTTAACGCCTTGCGGGTTTCTCCACCTCCCTACAGCAACTGTATGCCGCCCAGCTTGCCAGCATGCAGGTCTCTCCTGGAGCCAAGATGCCTCCACTCCCCCAGCCCCTCAATGCAAGTGGGCCCATTTCTCCCTCCTCTCTGAAGAATGACAAGAGTTCCTCCAGCCCCATCACTCAAGTCAAGGTACAACTCTCAATTCTATCAATCTGCCCACCCACCAGTCCAGGCCTTGAGTGGTACTTGACCTAGCCTTGCCTAGTTGGGGTTGTCTCAATAAAGTAGCATCTACACTGTTCACTACTTCAGTCAATACTTACAGCCAGCCGGTGCTGAGCCCAACATCTAACAGGCCATCAATCTGTGGTGCTTTAACAAGGCCCTCTCTCTCTTAACCAGAACTCTGTGGACATGGTTGCTATGGCTATAGCTACTCCAAGCCAGTAATTTGTGGAACACATGGCTTCTAAAAGTTTTTTCTTCTTCTTTTTATGCAATTGAAATGGATTAAAACCATTACAACAGTGCTATACAAACGCCGACAAAACTGAAGCAAAAAGTAGGATTGATTACTTTTTTTGCCTTGTAAACAAACCAAATGCAGGACGTGTGTTTTCTGCTGCTGCTGTATGGCATGACTCCACTAGACCTCCATGCAGAGGAAAGGCCATATACATCATCCCCACTCACTAAGGTCATAATAAGAAACATGTGCCCATTTGGAGTAGTTTAGCTTAATAATATCACAATGGAGAAAAACCATAAATCATCTCCTTGAAATGGTAGCAAGGCACTCTGGCTTTCTCTTCATACACACAAACACACACACACACACATACACACACAATCCTTGAAGTCTCCCGCCCCCTGGGATTTACATTGAAAGATTGCCCTAAAACTGACTCAACACTGTCATTTCATAACATGAGTACAATTCTCTCTTTACTACTTCAGTCAGTTAGATTGATGCCAAATAGGCCAATATTAATACAACACCAGTTCTAGTCAAAATATTATAAATGTTGCCAATTATTACAATATTAAGTACTTTAAATAAATGAATCATATATAAATGGAAAGCAAACATACACTGGCATCCTCCCATCTGTATCCACAGTGCAGTGGAATCAGCTTGCCTTTAGTTTTGTTTGCCGGCTTTCAGCTTCACTGCATGACAAACTGTTATTGGCACAGCAATAACAAGGCCTTGGGGCAGTCTATGCTTGAGCCATATGTTTGGACAAGGAGACACTTGGGCTTTGAAAAATACTGTTAACGACAGCATGAGCCCTAATCTGATTCAAAAGACTGCTGTATACACACAGGATTTATGCTGTGCAAAGTGACATTTCTCTTCTTGGATTCAAATGTTTGAGTTGTTTCTATTCAAAATGCAACGTAGGTATCTCTTATTTTACAGGGCACCTTCTTCATCACCTTGGAATTTATTTATGTGTGAGATGATTAAATATGTAATTACGAATTGATGATATCTTTAATTAATTCCATTCTGATATTTTAAATTGTTTAAATATATTTTACATTTATTTTAATATTAGGTAAAAAATTGTCACATAGCTTATTTCTGTCTGAATGCCTGGCCTCTTCCTCCCATTGTTTATTTTCAAGTACCCACACATGAAACATGTTTGGTCACAGTACACAAACTGCTGTGGATGGCAACGTGGAAAACAGTGCTCTTCATCTCACATCAGTAACTGCTCTAAAAGGCTGTAACCAGCCCAGCAAATACAGCAACAAACACATGCATCATCCTCTGACCTCATCTCAGAACTACACTATTTAGTTTTTTTTTTCTTGAATCACATCATATTTTTTTTTAGGAATAGGCATATCAAAGCATGTGATAAAACCAAGTATGCACAAATGAGGAATGAAATTAGAAAACAAGTTAATGAAGTAGATAATGTAAGTCGACATCTGATGAATGGAACAGCTGTCTTTGATCACTGGCACCGCCGTTATCTGGTCATTATTTATTCTTCGAACCAGAGTGCAGACACAGAGAGCAGGGAGGAGGAGAGGGAGAACAGATGAAGATGTACAGAGAGACAGAATCTGCTTTAATTAGTGTGAACAAAGGCGCTGGGCAACTGTGAGGAAGATCGCAGTGGCACAGCTCCTAAGGAAGGATGGACGAGGAGAGGAGAGGAGAGGAGAGGAGACGTGAGGAGAAGAGAGGAGAGGAGAGGAGAGGAGAGGAGAGGAGAGGAGAGAAGAAAAAAGCAAGGAGAAAGAAGAATCAGGGAGGAGGTGTGGGTCAGGATAGGGATCCTATAATTAACCAAGAACAGAGAACTGTGCTGTCTGGGAATTCGGAGCTCCTTCAAAAGGGGAGGGGGGGCCACCTATTCACATCTGTCTTCTCTCATACTCCTATCTCTGCTGCCGTAGGAGGAAGGAACACAGCCGCTCAACCTGTCTGCTCGGCCAAAGACGACAGAACTGGTCAAATCCCCCACATCCCCGACACAAAACCTGTTCCCTGGCAGTAAAAACAGCCCTAACAGTCTCATCGGCAAGGGTGGTATCCCCAGCCCACTCGGAGGAGGCCTGGGACGGGGCTCATCTCTGGGTAAGACCTCAGAGTTTCTCCGCTTTACAAACAAGAGCCCACACATACATACATACCTATACATATTTACTCTGTTCAAACACACACTTGTGCACTCACATCTGAGGAAACCACCTTGCAAGGTCTTGGTTCTGTTTTGGTACTTAATATTTCACATATAAATGCCACTCTCAAGATGTTGTGTGAGGTTGTTGTTTTTGGTTTTTTTTTTTTTTTTTTTTTTTGTTTTTTTTGGGGGGGGGGGGGTCTGTATTCTAGCAGACTAATTTTGCTGTCCAAACTCCACTGTGTGTGTGTGTAGATATTCTGTCAAGCCTAAACTCTACCGCGCTGTTCGGGGACCAGGACACAGTGATGAAGGCCATCCAGGAGGCTCGGAAAATGAGGGAGCAGATCCAGAGGGAACAGCTGCAACATCACCAGCAGGGCATGGAGGCCAAGCTGTCCGCCCTCAGTTCAGTGGGCCTCAACAACTGCAGAGTTGACAAGGTTAGGACTACTATCATATAGTCTGTCGCCACCAAGAGTGTTCAGCTTTTCGTAAAAGTAGTGTAGGAAAGAAACTATTAAAGAAAGTGGAACATGGTGATTTTAATACAGCAGTCATTCTTAAGACTAATATTTTTCTTTAATCCATGTCCAGGGTGGTCATATTGATAAGAGCTGGCATACTTCAGTATGTGCATGTCCGATTACTGAAATTAGTATGAATATGTTTGTGTGTGCGTGTTTAGAGGGCTCGGCGTTGTTGATGTTGGTGTGAGGGCCGTGACAGGCCATGGCAGTGCCCGGTGTGGGTTACGAAGACTCTGAAGTCTCTGCCCAATTAAAGCAGACTTGCAGCCCTCTCCGTCCCCTGACACGGGATGGGGCTGCTTTGTACCAGGAGCACACACTCCCAGGGATTCCCTTTAAAAATATCTTCAATCGATGAGTCAATCAAGGAGAGAAAAAAGCTGTCCTCCTCTCTTCAGCTTGATGCCATGTTGCCAGTTGGCTGTGAGGAGCAGGCAGGAACTGGGAGCGATGCTCATTAATATTTCAGTACCTGATACTTTCAACCAACAGCCTCAACTAGGTCAATGTATATGTAAAAAAGTCAATGAATATCTATTTTGACTTCCCCCTAATTTGGTGTTTGGAAGAGATCACTGTCTATGCAGGTGGCAATCAACTATGCTCTTACTGAAGTGAAGCAAATAAATTAGTGCAGCCCACAGAGAGGACAGAGATGTAGGCTCTCCTGCACTTATCCCTTACTAACCAGAAGAAAAAAAATCTTAACAATAATGAATCAATACATTTGGTCTTTTTTTTTTTTTTTTACCATGTCATAATTTCTCTTTAAATTTAAACAAGTCAACAGGAATATCATCTTGTTTTTAGCTTTCTTTGTTTTCATGGTACACAACATGGTTACAGTTACAACATGGTATGTGAAGCTTTTAGCATGAGTATGTAAGCACCCTATTTTCAGTCACAGTAGCTGGTGGTCAACCAAGCAGCCGAATCTGCCATGACATGAAAGCAGTAAATGAACAATGCCTGTAAGGAGCCAAATTCACAGCCTCTCCTTAGCAGGTAGAGCTTAATGGTATTTTCACTCCCTGCTTTTGTAGGATTTAGTTTTGTTTCCTCTGAGTTTTGGACTTGTCTGTTCAACCTATGTTAAAGCAATCATCTCAGAGGAGGAGGATGCTTTTCTCTTTTGTTGTTTTTCTTTTCTTTTCTTTTTCCTTAAGGATTTTCTGCTTGAAATAGTCAGTCACTCCTCACCTGTAATCTACCTTTTGTCTGTGTTTGCCACCTGAGAAGCATGAGTGTGCTTTTAAGAAAGGGATAGTGTGTGTGTGAGTGTGTGTGTGTATGCTTGGTGGGTAGGGTAGGTAAATGTTAAGTACTAATAAAGGGGCCATATTAGTTAGATCATAGTACTGACACACAAAAATAAAATACCAGATAATAATTAGACTACGTTCTGGTGGAAAATGTGATTGGTGCATCGTACCACCCTCTCATTTGAAGTAATTGAGATCCCACACACATAGCTGTGTGTTTCTTGCAAGGCCAAGACCAACTAATATCAATAATTGAAAGCATCACCTCAGGTAATATGTTTCTGTTTTCATTACATCATTTATATGTCTTGTTGAATGACACCTTAACCGAGCTCATGCTCGACTCTCTGGCTCGTGCAAATCACAGTGAGATATTGTCACCCCTTAGTTTCAGTGACACTGGTCCTATTAGGATGGTGTGAAATTAGAGGCACGCTTTATCAAGTCAGCTAAAAGAATTGCCCCATCATCTTCATCCTTTGGCTGCAATAAAGAACAGCAGGTTGTAATTCAGCGGTGCAATGAGAGAGAAGGAGAGAGAGTCTTTTGCTGATACAAGCCAACGGACTAGAAAGGTTTGAATGCCCTGGATAAAAGCTTTCACTTTGGTCAGTTTCAGAATATTAATATTTCAAGAAAGCGCCTCACCTGACATAAATATGGTGTGGTCTTTAATAGCTTTCCTCCCAGTCTCTTGTTTGGAAGTTTATCATAGTGAAAGCTTACATGAAGAAGATTCTGGAAAGGTAACATAAATGGGATTAAGGAGAGGTTAAGATCATCCAGTGTGGCTGTTAGAGGGGGATATTAAATATTGATTTATCCCACTGTAATGACCGGGCAGAGGAGTGGGTCTAAGTGCTGCTTACAGATGGATCAATTCATCTTTTCATACAAAGTGTGTCTGAACAGTACAATGCATTCCTCCCTAACCTTTATCACCATAGCTCTAGCTCTGTCTCTCCCTCCCTCCCTGGCCATTGACCTAGGAGAACATGGTGTAGATCAGACTCTCTGTTCTACAGTATACAAGCCTTTAACCTGAGGACATGTAAAATATTCATGCTTTACTGGAGCAGATTTTCTTGCTTGTCTTTTTATTTGTCTGTTTTCACTATATCCCATCAGTACAATAAAACCTTTTACAACCCTTCTGCAATTTACCTTTTTGAAATATTTATCTAAAGATATTATTGTCTGCAGAGGGCAATTACTTTGTTCCATTATTTACCATCTCCTCCTCACCCGGTGGAAGCTTTTACCTAGAATGCACCAGCGTGCCTACAGTCAAATACGGTACATCTCAATCCATTTGTAACCATTTGAATTGTTTCCCTCTATTATGCACTGTAGCCATAACTGGCCATGCTGTTTTTCAGGGTCATGGGTGAAGGTGAAAATGTAACTTCCCCCGTGTGGCCCTCATTGTATTCAGACAGTATATACAGCTTACATAATTAAGCGATAGAATTTTCATTGTATGGAAACTGTAAATTATAAATTGCTTGTTGATTTGAACCTGAATTATTTAATTTCAGCTTCAGTGACTGTTTTCTCTGTCACAAAAGAAAACAAAATCTATTTAAAGTCCCTGACTGAGGTGGTGTCCAATGTGACTGGTTAGGAAAAACACAGCAGAGATGAGAGTCGGCCACTGGCCAACCAGAGAAAAAGAGATAAAAGTCTTATCACATTTTGGCCAAATGACAGACCAGTCATGTGGCCCAAATCTGCTGTTTATTGGCCCTGGGGCAATGGCCAAGCCTTGTCGTTGATCCCTGCATAGTCAGGTATGACTGATTTCCCGTGCTTCAGTTCAGATAGATGTTGCATATGTGACGTCCTGGAGGTTGTGTAGGATGAAATATATTCCTCTGCTGACATGTCCCTAACTGGAATCAAAAGGTGAAAGGCCAGTGTATTAACCTATTGAACTGCCCTTTTCCGCCCTGCAGCACGTCCTCTCCTCAGTATTGATGACTACAATTGTCCATTTCCCGTATCCCAAAGCTCAGCCTGTAAATATTCAAATGGAGCTTACACTGGTGCTCCACAAAATCCAGACTCCTAACCTATTGGTTATAGTGGTTATACTGTTCCCTTCTGCATGTGTATGTGTGTGATTTTGTGTGCGCGCGTGCATACATGTGCATGCACGTGTGTGTGTGTGTGTATGTGATGCCAGGGCCCTATTCAGGCAAAGCCCTCACAAAGACTTTGAATATAATCTTGTCTGGTCTGCAGCCCTGGAAGCAATTTTCTGCTCCTTTTCGACTGCTGTCTTGGAAATTGCAAACCAAGGCGTTTTGGCTGCAATGTAAATCCTTGGCATACAAGGGTTTGCCCATCCAAATTAGATTATGCTCAGCTCCCAGACACTGGCTGTAGCCAGCAAGTGCTATTGTGAAGATTGCTTACATTAATGCTTTGTCCAATTGTTCACGTTTGCCAAAAGAATAAAAATAATGTATGACTCTGTATAATATGCGCCTGTGCAAGTGTGCGTGTCTGCGGGCTCCTGTTCCAGGTCAGGTCTTTTGCTCTGTCTCGCCTCTTCCCCAGAAAGACATCAAAACTGCATCTTGGTAGGGTCATTTGGCGGTGGTAGCTCCATTATTTTCTACAGTTGTCATTTTACATGGTGAATTTCTGGCCTGCTGCAGTTGCTCAGAAAAGCTGCTGGCCTCAGTGGCAAAGACCTGTGATGCCGCGTACACCACAAGGCACATACAACAAAGAGCGAGGAAAAGAATAGACCACAAAGAACCATTTATAGTCTATGGTATTGTTGCAGTAGAAACATAATGGCTCCAGTGTCCAACAAGTCTTGAGGTTTTGTCCATGTGTGAAAGGGCTTTGGTAATGCTGCAGTTTCTAATATCCTGCTGTTTGCAACCTGGACGGTTTGATAAGGCTGAAGATTTCAGCTTCAACTTCAAATTCCCGGGAGGACCGAGAGAACGGTTCTGGATCATTGAGGACTGGAAAGCCGTAAAAGTACATGATGTCAACACAAATGATCTCAGCAGTGTGGAGCAGAGCATAAACACACACTCCTAAAATTATGACATTTTCAGCACATCTGAGTCTAATTGAGGACAACACACAGTTAAATATGTATAATACATTTAAAAGTATCACAGAATGTCCCAAAGTAGACACCCAGACCTGCAGAAGAAATCCAATTGTTTTGACTAGGTTTTTATTTTTCTGGGTTTGACTTGACTTGTTGTCTCCAACATAAAATAACTCATCCTGAATAATGATAGCATATCCTTTTAATAAAAACAAACAATAAACATTAAACTGGCACAAAGCCCAGAGTGGGGTTCGCTCGCCATTTCCTTACATAGTTTAAGCTCCTTAATTTAATTAAAGGCCTTTCTTCCCTCAGTTTTAAACAAATGAGGTGATGCCCTGGCAGTACAAATGGGACTGGAATAGCTGGCCATCTCTGCACTGTGTGATGTTGAGGATGACTACTATAGAACAGATGCCAGCCTTTTGTGGCTGCTACTGTTGATTCTCCTGCTGCCTGCATTAGCCTTAGCAAGGGGAGAGCACAGGGTAAAAAGAGTGCAACAGCCTGAATGAAAGGAACTGTGGGTTTACCGCATGGCTGGATGTACTTAACATTTAAATGGTTCAAAACTAGCAAAAACTACTGGAAAGCTGCAGACTTATAAATAACATTGCAACTGGTTACAATAAAAATACAAAACAGATGAGGCGCTGAGTTGTGAGGAGCTGTAGCCATGTTAAAGTGCAGTCTTTGTCTCCATCAGGGCTGGGACAGATTGTTGAGGGGCTTAGTCTGAGACCCTCAGAGAGAAGACTCTGAGGGCCAGACCACAGTGATGACTGACACTTGATACACAAAGCCCTGTATTGTGGTCAGAGAGCCACTGCCTTCAACTTGCCACATACCAGGTGTGTGATATAACCAGAGCCAGTTCAGCACATTATCAAACATAAGCGGCTGTTTAGGGTCTTGCAGCTGTTAAAGGTTCCAATCATGACAATTTTAAACACATGCGATCATATAATTTCCAATGCTAAGGAAACATGGATGAGATTTTACCAATACTCTAGAGATCTCAGAAAGTACAGTAGTGATTGCTGTCAGATTTCACAGAAACATGTCATTTACTGTATATGCATACATATATGGCCAAAAAAAATCCAGACTATTATATGACTTTAAGTTGGCAACTGGTGAGTTTTGGAAGGACTAAAATGTGTCATGTCTGCCAGCTGCCTGAAAGAAATGAAGCAGTTTTCTCTTTAAATAATCATTCTGATGTCAAAATGTTTTGGCGAGAAAACATGCCAGCTTAATCTGTGCCTGTAGCATCTGGTTTACCTTATTCCTTTCTCAACATGGAGTAAGGTCATTTTGGCCACAAAATCACACAAATTGGAAAAAAAAAAGTTACTATCAGTGATTATCAGCAAGGCAAATATGTATTTAGTAATTATTTAAATTAAAACAAAATTAACAAAATTATGTTTTGGACCTGGTTTGTCCATTTTCATCAAGGGATCAACAACACTTGGGACTGATTAAACGTAAAAGTGTCCAAACCTCTCTGCCACGACTACTGCCTGGTACAGTGAAGCATCTCTTCACCTTGGCTGAGCTCTTTCATCAGAGCAACAGCAGAGGCAGGTTAAAAAAAAAAAAAAAAAACCTTCTAGACAAACTGATACCCAACAAACTGAGCTGACAACTGCACGCTGATCTGCACCACAGTCTACCTTACTACTGAGAGTATTTTTCTTTCATCTGTATTTGAACAATCTCAGGCCATATGGCTTTGCATATAGCCCAGAGCTATTTACAAAGGAGAGAGTGAAGGAGTGTCAGGATTGGCAGTGTGTTGCTTAAATATAGGGCAGGAGTAGGCACAATACACAGGGCCGTCCGCCACCCGCCTCTGCCCAGAATACACCCTGTGGGCAGAGCAGCAGGCCTCCGGCACATGTTCTGTGGCCGGCCAGATTAAAGCTCTCTTTACAGCACTGACAAGGGCTCTTCTGGGTTCCCTCGCCCAAGAAGTTCCACTCTCTGACTCTGCTATCTATTCTCTTTATACTTCTCTCTCTTTCTCTTCCTGTGGGTCTCGCAACTTCACTGGACTGGCTCATGACTTCACAGGGCAACCATGTGCAACTGAACAAAATGCATCTGTTACCAAACTTTAAAGACAAAAGACTGCACAGGCAGGGCAGATGAGATTATTGTGGGTGGCAGTTTTCCACTACAGCTTAGAGTGCACTGCTATAATTTTAGTTTTGGGGTGGAGAGCTCCATGCTGAAGTCATTTGAGGGAGGGACAGGTTGCTTTGCCAGCAGTTGTGGTCAGATTGGGAGGGGAATAATGTGTACTGTTACATCTTTTGTTTCCTGTCTCTTTATCTTTACCTCTTCTCATCATCCTTGATTTGTTCTTTCATTTGACTTTGTTTATGTTCCCTTTCTTTCAAAGGCCTTTCAGCATTTAGCAGCACTCATTTTGTGTATTTTTTGCGTTCAAAGTTGTTTTTTTATCATTCTCTTGCACTGCACATTATAAATACCTTTTTATATCAGCCATATACTGATGGGCTCCCTCTCTTTCACTCTCTCCCTCTCGTTTCCTGGCAGGAAGGCCAGCTTCCCCAGATACTGCATGTCCTCTGCTACTTCTCTTTGTCAGAGTGATCAGTAAAAATTTAATGACACTATAAAATAATAAAAGTGCCATTAATTTATCACAGCACTTGATGCGTGGGCAGTAAAGAAGCATTAGTTCACTGAATATTTTCCAGCCTTAAAACAAAACCCCGATGCTGTGCAGATAATTTATGTTCCTAATTTCAACTATAATTCTAATTCACAGATATAAATTACCAAACTTATAACCAATAAGTATATTAAACTCAGTATATAAAATTTTATGAAAATTTGTGGTGCCATATTGCAGATAGTCTAATATTAATTAGCATAGATAACAGAGGGAAGGGAGGAATACTTAATGTAACCACATCTTTATATTATAGTATGTAAAATGCTGCCTCGTATAAAGTATATGTACATGTTCTCTATATAACTACAAGAACGCCCCTGATACTTTTAATGTCAAATGAAGCTACCCCAAAGAATGCTCAAACAAGAGCCTCATTCAGTCTCATTCCCAGCTGTCTAATGTGCTGATGTTCACTAATCATATGACTGTGCAGTGAAGAAAGAAGTTCAACACTGAGCTAGTTATTAATGAAATTCATTGATTGATGGCCCCTGTTCTCTCTCCTTCTCAGCCCAACATGATGCTTAATGATCATGAGTTTATAAAAGGACTTGATTGATCAGGAGGGACCAGCGAAGCGCAGAAGAGGGACGAGATGACTACTTTATTACAGATATACAGTACCCATGAACGCTGTGTCTTCCTAGTGGACTGTCCAAGTAGCATCTAAAGCAGCACCATTGCCCATCCAGCTAATAGCACATAAGTCACTTTGTCATCGGGCTGCTAGCTTCTTTCATTAAGAGCAATAATGTGGCTGGGTGATGAATACGGCTCTGTGTATGTGCATGCTCGCGCATGTGTTGCTTTACACAGAATGTGACACCGAGAAAGGCACCACACTCCATCTTCTCTTTACAAAGCATCCTCTTGCCCAGCAGGGACCACCACATATGTCATAATTAGAAAACACTTAAGTAAGCAAAGGGCCGTCAGATAGACAGGCTCTAATCACAGGCCATAAGCAGGTAGTGGTTAATTGTATATCAGAATCACTCAGCTGGCTATAAATAATGACTGCTACTTCAAGTATGATGGTAAATTGCAGTGCTCTTTCTGTCTCTCTCAGTCCTTTCTTTTGAGGAATAGTTCTTGAATAAATAAAAGCATGAGGAAAATCAAAATACTGTGAAAGGCCTCAAATGGACTTGAACTATCTCCATCCTTCATCTTGTCATCTTTTTTAACCCTCAGGAAAAAAAAGGTTATACAAAAGAAAAAAAAAACATTTCAGAAAGGTTTCTTAATTTATTTTTTTTCTAAAATGTGCTGTAATTACAGATGTCTATTGTTGGCAACATGATTTTATTTGTCAGGGGAAGACAACTAAATAAATTAAATGCAGCTGAAAAAAATAATATTTTTACTTACAATAGTTACATCTGCTTAATTTTTTAGCACCTTCTCCTGTTAGAGGAGGGAAAAACATTCCCTGTGGGGGAAAAGTGAAAAAACAACAAAACGGTGCAATGCATTACAAAGACGGGGCTAAAAGATTAATGTGTGTGCTGGTGTCGGTGTGTGTGGCATGGGAGCTGTTAGTATTGTGTGAGGGCTCTACCTGAGTATCTGTTCAGACTGCATGTGATAGGCGTGTTTAGAAAAGAAAGAGGCAGAGGTCAGTGCAGACATTACATCTTTGGCAGAGACTGAACGCTCACCCTGAGAGTAAAACAAATGCTTTTTTTCTGAATGGTGGCAACATGCCTGCTTTTAGTGTCATCCAGGCGAAACCTAGGGGGGGAGAGATTATTTGTATCATGCAGAGTCAAAGTGTCCATCTCCTAGTTGAGTCTTTAGAGAGGAAGACAGCCCTTTGCTAATGCCCTGTGTATTCACTGAGGAAGTAGGTCATTCAACAATGGAGCCAGCAGCAGTCGGCACTCTCCCCTTGCATAATACATTAAGTGTAATGTGCAGCAACTATTCAGAGGCCCCCCGAAAGCTGTTATTTTATTCTGTAAATGCACACGGACATGACATTTAATATTGTCACGGAGCGCTGAATGACAGGGTTTCATTGTGTGTCAAGTACAACATGATGCCAAGTTTAATCTGAGCACAAAGCGACATGACAAACGGGAAAACACGGTGTGTTCTCCAAAGCATGAACTCTGAATAAATGATGGGCGCTGAGCTCTGGGCGCTGTAGACTGGAAGGGAGGATGTAAGGAGAAGATTACAGAGGAAAATCTGAGCACTGCAAAGAGGGCCACGGCCCCATTGTGTGCTTGGGATCACAAAGTATCCTTCTGTAAATCTATTTACAGCACCCCTGGCCCTCACTGTCTCTCTGCCTCCTGTCATCCATTATAGCAGCTGCTGAATAGAGAGATGAGAGAGGAAAAAGCTACATCTAGCTCATGTCAAAAGAGCAGCTCTTCAAAAGAACATCCATTTATCAAAGACACTTTCATTCTTTTCAAAATTTCAGATTCCTGATGGGGTTATTTTTTACAATTCTATCACTGTAAAAACGTGCATGTATGTGTTTGTTTGTGTACCTGACTGTTTGTATTTCTCTGCAGGAGAGGGCGCATTTTGAGAGCATTGGGCACCACCTCGGCAAGCTGGGTGAGGAAGGGAAGATCGGCCACAGAGTTATTGACCTCACCAGGCCAGAGGATCTAGATGGTATGGCCACATGAGTTTCTCTCTTTTTTGTTTTAATTGCATGTCATTGTAACTGACTGCGTCCACATCTGATGATGTTATGTTTCCTGATGAACTCTGAAAGCAAAAGGAGTTTTGACGGCTGATAAAGGCCGCTACTCCACCTGGCTATGTGTTTCAGAATTAGATTGGTAGAGTGGTTTGTGTGGGTGTGTGCAGAAACATGTGCGTGTGTGTAAGAGAGATGTGGGGGTTGGGGTGAATGCCGTTTGAAATGAGCCGTGGCTCCGAGGTTTTCACAGGTAGGTGAGCGGAGGACAAGGATGTCTGAGGACAAAGCTGGCTCTTTTCCAAGCTCGGCTCCTGTTGCTGTTGTGCTTGTTTGAGGTCCTGGGCACAGGGGTGTAAATTCGGGTTGCACCAGTGTGACAAAGCGTCATCTCCTTTTGTGGCACTGGCTCCTACACAGGAGCAAGGAGTACCTCCGTGCACCAATGTTTGTCCGACATAAATATTTGTGGCAGTTTCCATGGCACTTCAGAGCCAGAGCAAAGAGGAAAATGGTTCTGACTCATCTTTGATGCCTCAAAGAGTCTCAAGGCAGAGGGTAAGATATTTCTCAGGACAATGTAACCCATCAACAACTTTAAATAGCATCTTAGACACATTTCCCATCGGTTTTAGAAAGAAATGCTCCTGCATAATTGGTTCACGTAGACTTTTATAAATAAAAAAAAAAAAGGTAATGTTTTTTCTACTTCCCATAAAAAAAAATTGTTTACCAACTCCAAAGCAACCGTATTTTTTTTACTTGTCTAGTTTCACATCACACCCAATCCTGAAGATGAGAATTAGAGGTGTATTTAGTGGATTCATTGACATTTTTCCCATGTGAGCCACAGAAGCAGATCCCATCCCACCCGTCTGACTCCTTGGACAGATGTGCTTCCAGTTCTCATTCTGCCAGTGGGAACCTTCCTTCTGTGGCTGCTGTGGAGTCAGGACTGAAACAGAGCGCACACCAGGGCAGTTGTGTCCTTTTAAGTCCTGCTCAGGGCCGAGGGAAAGGCTCTCGCCAGACGCCTCGCATCAGTGTTCCCAGTGGGCTATGGATTAGGAGCAAGCAGAGGTTAAAGGAGAGGAGAGGTCCTCTTCTCAGGGGGAAATGGCTGGGAGCCACAGCAGCACACATAACTCAAAACACACAGTTAACATTTCTCCTCTTACGCCACAAATATATCTGTCTGTCTCTTTCAGCTTCACTAACAGGGAAACACATGGTTGAATCATGTGAACCACAAAGTGTTTACTCTTCTGAGAAGATGTTTACTTTGAAATCCTTATTGTGAGGATTTTGTTCTCTTTGAACCAATGGAGGCTTGGCTCCCTGGCATACCTTTATATATATATAAACATACATTAATTATGTAATCTCCTGTTATTTGGGATTTCTTTAATAACCTACAAAGCACTGATTGACAGATTCACAGGTGACAGGTCATGCAGATGTCATGGTTAAAACTGGGCTAAATGCGGTTGTTGAAGTTTTTTTTTATGGCTTTACGTATTCAAGTTGTTTACATGGCATTTAAAAAACAAATAAAAATACAGTCCATTTGTATTCTACTGGAGCAATGATTATATATGATAAATATGTCATAAACCAAACTTAGCCCTGTTTTATCCCAGGCATCTGGATGTCTTTTGATCTGGAAATTATCAAGCAAGTTATTACTGAATACCTTTTGGAAGTTGTAATTATTTTTGGGAGCATTTCAGTACGGAAGACGGGAAAGTTATTTGGAATCTCTCTTTGTATCTTTACACACTTTTTCTTAGTAATTCAAAACACACTGCATATACTTTGGTGTTTCCTGAAAAGGAAAATTACTGGGTGTACCTCCCAACCCTTACATACTGTATGGTGTGAAAGCCCCTTGGTGTGCAGCAGCTTTCCCTCCAGAACAGAGCAGCCACACTGAGCGGGCCCAGTGTACAGCGTACCTCTGTCATCACAGCAGTTCACAGAAAGCTTTAGGTTGCTTAAGCTAATATTTGCAAAGCATGCAGCAACCAAAGTTCTAACGAATAGGACTCTGAAAAAAGTGGCAAAGGAATGGAAATAGATAGGATTTCCTTCATTTTACAAAGCCACGAGCCACGCGCACGATCCCACCGCAAATTTCATTAGGTCTTTTTAAGCTCTCATGAAAATATTACCAAATACCACAAAGGCCTCAGCCTGGGTTGGCCCTTTGTTCATTCACATATGGCAGTTCGGAGTTGCTGTGCAGCTGAGGTTGTGTGTTTGTCTAAACCGCCCCCACCACTGAGGGTCCGCAGAGAACAAAGAGGTTGTTGAGAGATATGTGGAGACAGGAAACAGAATTAATCTAAACGCCCAGTGTGATAATATCAACCAGAGAGTGAGAAAAGATGAAGCTTCAGCCAAACAGTGTCTCTAACAAAGTCCTCATGGAATAGGATGAGAAGAACAGTAGCGTTGCATTGTTGTTACAGATCACTGTTGATGGGTTTCTTTACTTTGGTTGCTGTGAGCTGTTCTTATATGAGTTGATTGTTTGAAGAGGTCTTTGTTGCTGTTTTCCTTGCACTGAGGCTGTGGGAATCAAGCTCTGGCTTTTATTGCCGAGGACTTTCCTTGAAGAAAGCTTAGATGAGGAGGCTCAGACATGATTTATCAAGTCGCAACAACAATAGTTGAATAGGTCATCGCAATCAATAAGAAAGTTCTGTTTTGAAGATGGCTAATTCAACTTTAGCCCCAATAGAACAAATTTCTGTGTTGCTGTTTCTCTGTGTGTGCACGCATCTCCTTTTGTGAGTGCAAAGCTGGGACGTTGTGAAAGATTAGACTCCACTTTTAGGCTAAATGCACAAGAGAGGGGATAGAGCAGACAAAAGTGAAAGCCATAGCCTGCATGTTGAAACAGGTTGGCTGTTTGTTCCTAAGTTAACATGTGCGTGCATTCACACTCACTCTCTCTCAAAGACACACACACACACACACACACACACACACACACACACACACACACACACGCTCCAGAAAACTCAAATCATCCGAACTGTAAAAGAAAAAAAAAGGATTGGCATGTTATAATAGGGCTTATATCACTTGTAATTTGTAATGGTTTAATTGCTGTGAGCTCAGGCTAGAGCAGGGGCACTGAGCGCCGTGTCCTGTCTGTCCATACACATTAATCTAGCCTGATCCTGCTCTGAGGGAGAGGCTCTATTGTCAGCAGTAAATGCCTTCAGTCAGAGGTGTTATATTTGATCCCAACAGGGAGGGCTTGGCAGGTTTGCGTGATTGTTGCCTGCTCACTGAGGCTCATCCTCTTGAGCGGATTCCTGGGTGACATTATGTGTCTGCCCGCAGAACAAAGATGAGTAAGGAGGAGAAAAGGGGGAGGAGAGGGGACGGCTGGGGCAGTGCTACCCTCTGGCTTGGTACATGGTCGAGTCTGAGCCTGCAGCTCACAGGTGTGATAGGCTTTTGGGCCTCACTAGATTCTCTCTCCATTTCTCTCCTTTTTTTCCCCCCCTACTTCCTCGTTATTCGCTCTCCTTTCTTCATTTTTTATCCCCCACCCCCCACGCTTCGTGCACACACACAATCATTCTTTCTCACTGTAATTCATGCTGCTCATCTGCAGTGTTTCCAGGAGAGACAAATTAAAAGGGGATTCTCATATCGCTCTGTCACACTTGAGCTGCAGGCCTCATGAATCACAATAAATTCTATTAAGCAGCTCTCCCTCTGTTACGCTCCCTCCCCAGCTACCACCCAGGGGGGCTGCCCCTGTCACTGCTAAACATCTGTGTTTATTTACACAATCACACACCTAACTAACTGATTCCTAAATGTCCTGCCCCTCCTGGAAAAAAAAAATGTTAATGCTCATTTGCAAAATGTCAGAGCAGTGTCATGATTTTCAATGAAAAGACAGAAACAATGTTGAGGCAAATTGCATGTTGCAGTTTCTAGGGATTTTCTAAGACTGGCTGCTAATGCACAGGATGCCTCTGATTAAGTCATATATATTATCCGGGGTGGAAGGGGGGGCAATTTTATCCACCCATTAAGTCTTGCATGCTCTTATGCAATGTTTGTACCGTAATCAGTAATATTACAGTGAAGACTTTGATATTATTTCAGGTCAAAGGTCAAACTCTGTTAGGCTGTTGGTTTCCCAGGGGCAGTCTTAGGTCTGAGTCAGCTTGAAACCTTCATCACTTTGTTGTTTACACATCCAGGACCAAAGCACCTGCCTCAGTACGGATGAAAGTAAATGATGTAACACTGCCGTTGTGCATTTCAGTGTCTTTCTGTAGCATCAGGCAGAGCAGGCAGCCACTTTCCCATGTGCCATACCTCATCTGGCTTCCCTCCAATGAACCAAGTCACGTGGCTGGTTTCCTGGCTAACTATGGATGTGGCACTAGCTGATGGCAGGCAGTTGTTTTGTCCCCCTCCCCGTAAGAAGCTCACCTCTGCCCGTATGCATGCACACCAGTATATAAATTGCTGAATCAGTGTCAGTGATAGAGTAATGGCACGGGAGGCATCGTAAATTACAGCAAGCGATCCCGGGGTGCAGACACTGGCTGTCGTGTCTGAGTGAGCGCTGCGCTCCTGAGCTAATGAATACCTTCATCTGGCCCCGGCAGTCAGCAGATTGCCCCGCGTTGATGGATACTGTCAGCCCTCCGCCACACCACATTTCATTGCACAATAAACATGGTTGTCAAAACCAAACAAAGTGAAATCAATTCATCCTGTACAGTGAGTGCATGCTAAATGAAATTAACGTACTGTGGGGTTCGGTGGCAGCAAAGGTAGTGTATTATTTCTGAATTCATGATGGCTTTAGGGCCTATAACATTCTAGGAGGCAAAGGCAAACAGACAGAATATGACATGTCACCCACGTAGTTTGAGAAAGTGTTTACAAAAGTGAAACAACACCTTTTAAATATTCTAATTTCCTATTTTTGTGCATTTGTCTAAGTTAGTATATTTATATGCACGTACCAGTTCCAGGCCATTCCATGTATAACTAAATTGAGAGACTAAGAAAAAGCAGAGGTTTCGAATATTAAGCTTGCTCTATCAACACCTTGATGAAGACGATCATGTGAAAAAAAAAATTGAAAATATTCTCAAGTCAAAATATTTCATTCACTATTTGGTGAAAAAAATTACACTTGATATTTGAAACACAAGACTATGACAATCTAAGGCTAAAAAGAATAATTGTCAGAATATATATTGATTTTAACTTCTATTTTAAGAGAAGGTTTTCTTTTTGCCCCCAAAATGTTCTTACACATGTTTTTTTTCCCTCTTTTTTCTTAACGTGCTTCGCTTAAGACAGAAATGATTTTGAGTTGAGACTTATGTGGGCAGCAGCTAGTGCAGTGTCACAATGTGAAAAAACATTTTTCACCAGACTCCCAGATGAAGGCGAGCCTCTGTGCATCACAAATGTAGCTGTTTGACTGTTAAACATGAGCTGGTGAAAATTGATTTGGGGAGCCTTTGTACTGGGAGAAACAGGTTTCCTAGTGGGCAGCTGGACTTCAAACACACTCTGTGCGCATAATCCAACTTCCACCACGCCCCCATCTCAATTATAGGTGGTGGTTCTGTGATTACATATATTGCTTTTCCAGCACTTGTCTCCTATAATAGTTCTGAAAAGAAGACATGCTTTTCCGAAGTGAAGACACTTTTCAGCATCTTCAGTGATTAGAGCAGAGCGAGGTTTCTGTGGATTTGGAATTAATGCCTCTGCACAGCCCTCCATTACTCATTAAGAGTTTGATTTTGTTTATCAGCTGAAATAATAATAGAAATCAAACCCCAGGTAACATGTGCCAAGGCTGCTAGTGGAATGGTCTAATGAGAAGGCTTCACATGTGGATGATGAAATATGCATGAGTCATCCCAAGCTTTCTTTTCCAGATTTGAGATCATTAAAGATGTATCGTAGCATATGGAAGGCTTTTTTTGTCTTATTTTTCAAGCCTTGTTTATCAACATGTTTTTGTTTGTTTAAATATTCATACTGCTTTTATTTAATTCTTTCACATCTTACATATAAAAGGAAGCAAATGCGCATGCAAACAGAAATCATTATCAGTCTGATGTACAGTTTAATACTGAGAGAAACTCCCTTATGCTGATTGTGAATGCCCTGATTGAGAAACAGCACTTTGCAGAAACGGCACTCTCTCTCATCGCAAATGTGAGCCTGGTTTGTTTGTTTTTGTGTGTGTGTGTGTGTGTGTGTGTGTGTGTGTGTGTGTGTGTGTGTGTGTGTGTGTATAAGGAGTGAGAAGGAAAGAAGAAAGAGCGTGTCTGAATTTATTTGTGCATATATGTTTTAAAATGTACTTTGGAAGAATGCTTTATCAAGATTTTCCAGCTTCCCTCTGTGATTCTTTTTAAAGACTGCCTCAAGTCCAGTGTTTGTGTCTTATGTTGGCACCCTTGCACTATGGACACTATGAATGTCAAGTTGAAATGTACGTAGCAGAGAAGAGAAGTGTGAATACTTGCAGACAAAATATTTAACTGCCATTGAAGTCCAAGGTCTTCCTCTTTTGATTTTGGATAGACCCTCTTAAGCTGACATTGTATTCACTTTTATCGCACATAAAATGAAAACCTGTCAAGTCAGGTTTTCCACTCAATAAAAAGTCTACGCCCTCTAGGAGGGTCTGTAGCCCTGCACTCATCTGAAACAATGTTCATGATGATGATAGCAGCGACAAAAGAAGATTAAGGAGAGTTTGAAAATGGCTCGTCATTTAATCAATGTCTTGCCTCGCTCTCTCTTCTTGTTCCTGCTCTGGCTATTCCAGGGTCCAAGGAAGTCAATGGCTCTGCAGATAAACCCCAACCCTATTATTGTTGGCCAACAGGAGGCGCTGGATCTACTGAGGCCCGAGTCTTCAGGGAATCTCGAGGAAGGAACAACAACGAACCCCACATTAAAAGGCCGATGAATGCATTCATGGTGTGGGCCAAGGATGAGCGGCGCAAGATCCTCCAGGCCTTTCCCGACATGCACAACTCCAACATAAGCAAGATTTTGGGTAAGACCTTCTAAATCAAGTCCAGTAAATATTTATAGGCTGATAAAAGTGATAAATATGCAGTGTTTACAGCTTCTTTCATGACGCACTGTAGAGGTGGAGAACTACTTTTATGTGTAAGACAGCAGATATTTTATGAGATTTCCTTAATCAGAATTTTGGTAATACCTTACAGACTTAGCAAGCATTTTGTACATTCAGATGTGGGTTTATTCTGCACTGATAGGTAAAGTTGATCTGACAAAGCAGCCAGTATCTAAAGGAGGGAAGGTGTGTTATCTCGTAGGCCACTGTGAATCAGTTCACCTCAGCATACAGATGGATTTATAGCCCATCGCTACCATAAGTGTTTGTCATGAAAAATGACAGAGGCTAAATGGGTCTTGTCCCCTCAGCATTGGAGTCAATACATCAGAGCTGTTAAAAGTGCTGTCATCCAGTACCTGGTAGCACACTTCACAGAGCTGTATTTACTACACTTGCCTGTTGTTTCTTACCATCTGATATCAAAGTATGTCTCTTGTCTCAGATAATGTGCATAGGCAGGGCTATCAAGAGGTTCATGTGGAATGGACAATAAATCTTGGCACATGACTTTGCTAGAAAACTTCTGCCCTTATTAAGGACAATTCAGATTTACATTAAGCTCTGAGCCAATGTGGTAAAATGTGATTGTGAATTTTAAAATATTGTTGATTCTTTTGACTCTCCATTTTTATCATGATAAATAGCTTTTACTACAATTGTTTTTTCCTTGTGTTCAAATTCAAAAAATCTCAATCTACTGCGTTGTGTAGGTTCTCGGTGGAAGGCCATGTCTAACCAGGACAAGCAGCCATACTATGAGGAGCAGGCCCGTCTGAGTAAGCTCCACCTAGAGAAGTACCCAAACTACAAGTACAAGCCGCGGCCTAAGAGGACCTGCATTATTGACGGAAAAAAACTCCGCATTGGAGAGTACAAGCAGATGATGCGCTCACGGCGACAAGAGATGAGGCAGTTCTTCACTGTGGGGTAGGCACGCAGACACAAATCCCACCATCTAACCACACTAACACACAAACAATCTTAGAGCATACCAACTACACTGTAGCCTTTTGCCTCCCTAGAGCCTGTTCTCATACAATATAAACACCATTTCTTAAAGTCAGTGCTCAGTTAACCTCTACTGTATTGGTTTTAAGACAAGAGCCTGACATGCCCATTAAAATAGTGTTTTTCAATAGCTGTGATTTCATCATTTTAGACAATAGCAGTCTGCAAATGGAGCATAAAGTGCACACATTATTGCAGGATATAAGCTCTAAGTATAGACTTACAGAAGCCTGGAGGGCAGCAGTTTCAACTTAACACTTTAATTTACTGTGTGTGGTTAGCAGGAGAGCCCTTCTCCAGGTGTTCCCATGTCAGTCATAAGCTTCAGTGGCTGGAGTATCAATCATCCAGCACAACAGCAGACAAGAGCAGCACTAACCACGTATTGGTTTTATGTCACCAATAAACTGGGTCGTGTTTCTGAACAGCTCAAAACGGGAGCTGTCAGGAGGACCTCTCTTTTCCCAAATCATTTTCACAGAGCTGCTGGCTTCAAGCAGACTGCTGTGGGAAACCCCTAATCCCGCAATCTAAATTTAAGTGCTGCAACCAAAAAAAAAAAAACAAAAAAAAAAAACATATAGTTTTTTTCTATACTTTTTCCTCTTTCAGCAACACTTTCAGCATTCTTTCCATCTGTTCTTTTATTGTTTTTGAAGGTCAAATTTCTATCGCAAGTAAGTCATGAAGGTATAATTAATGTTAATTTTATCTTTTTTTTTCTCCTACATCCAGACAGCCACCACAGATTCCCATCACTACCAGCGCCAGTATGGTCTATCCCGGGGCCATCACCATGGCGACCACCACACCCTCACCTCAGATGACATCAGAGTGCTCGAGTGCCTCAGCAAGTCCTGAGCCATCCATTCCTGTCATTCAGAGCACCTACAACATGAAGCTAGAGCCCAATACAATGGCAAACAACAGCGAGCCGGTCAATGGCGAGGATGAGATGGACATGTACGAGGATTTTGAGGACGAGCCCAAATCAGACTATAGCAGTGAAAATGACACACAAGAGCCAGTCAGCGCCAACTGAGACCTCTTTAATCGAAGAGGCCAATGCAGACACAACACTCATACAGGACGACGCCCAGAGGGTTGGCCTGATCTGAGGGAAAGAGCAAAAGAAAACAAAAACTACACCACAAAGGTTTAAAAATGTTGTTTTTTTAAAAAAAGATAATGATGTATCGTTTAGGAGCCAGCATGCAGATGTGGCTTCATCAGAATCAAAAGCTATTTGGTCTTAAGTGTTTCTTCAAGTGTGTGAAGCAGTTTGGTTGTGGTAATTTAGATTTTTTTTTCTCATTGTTTATTTTTTTCATTGTGATCATGGACATTTACACAATTAGTTTATTGCCTAGAACAAAAGACGGAACTTGAAATTGAACATTTGATATTTGATATGTGTATATCAAATATCAATATTTGATATAAGATTTGAATTCTTACAATAATTTACCTTGTTTTCCTCTTTAATTAGATCCTTTTGATATATTACATAACTGTTCAAGATGGGAATAATATACTCACTCAGGTATAGTGTGCCAGCCAACAGCTTGTGAATGTTTAAAATCAAGAGTAAAATATTACCAGTACAAAATATCTCAAAATTCATATGGAGTGATTCCAACTTAATACAGAGGGACATTACACATTATTATTATTATTATTATTATTATTATTATTATTATTATTATTATTATTATTAATCATGTTTTTGTTGTTGATTGTTATTATAGAAAATTTAGTGCAGAAGTGCCAAACATTTCAAGTTGTTTCTAAAATCTGTAAAGTCTTTTGGGAGAGGCTTCGTGAGTCTTAGACAATCTCTTGATCTCTTAATGCAGCTTCATTATCCAGTCTTTCTTTAATTTACCCTAAGAGAATAAACAAATGAAACTCAGGAACTTGGAGGCAGCAGGCTCTGCAGGAGGTTACAGTGTATGACATCTTTGGTTGGTAGCCTGTGATGCTAGCTGTTCTCCAGGGAGCCCAATGCAGTGATCATCAATGAAACCGGCCAGCCCTTTCATTTCCTCATCCCAGTCCACACAGAGCACTGTGGCATCTTTCACTCATTTCCAGCTCTGCAACCCAGTCTGACTCACCAAGTTCTTAATCAGAGTGATTGTAATCAGGCCAGAATGCTAAAAGGCCAAAGGCCTCCAATCTGTGGGATTGGAACAGCAGTGAAAGGCAGCTTTGGGGGCATTACAATCTCAAATTGATGTTGTACAATGTGTAGCTACAGTATGTTCTGTTAAACACTTTAGCCCCATTTGGACGGCAAGTTTAAAGTCTTAGGTCTTAGAACTTCTTTTTTTTTTTTCAATCTTAATTCTTTTTAGACATTGTAAATCTTAAACTGACACTAAGAAGTCTTAAAGCAGAGCACAGTCATCGGGTTGATGCAATGAGTTGATTACTGAAGCAGTCTTAAAAGAATTGAAAGTTTATGAGGATATTTCTAAACAGAGAGAAAAGGCTAATATCAAATGTTTCTTAAATTACCTTGTCATATACGTACATATGACAAGGGTTACTTAAAAAGACATATGTTTGCATGAGTGCACTTACATAAATTCTCTTTCTGCCACCTTGAGCCTTATTTTGTAATTTCTAGTAATCTTATCAGCTTTTGGAATGCACTTATCTTTTGCATTTAAAGAAGACAACATGCAATGACTCAGAAACAACAAGGACACAGTCTCTATCCTAAAAAGGCTGACAAGCAGTGACCTTCTGCAGACTGCAGCTAGATAAAGCTCCTCTAGCGGTCAAGGCCTTGATGTTGCCACTCAGATCCTCTTTACAGGGCAGAAGGTCTAAGTGGCTCCCCTCCCTGCCATGCCCTGCTCTGACCCCTGCCTGTGGCAACCTCAGCACCCAGGGGGCGCCATCTGGCTCAGAGAAGGAGAAAACACCAGGGAGGGGTGGGAAACAATAAAAATGGGGTGTGTGTCCCTCATTGTGCTCTCCATCAAAGTGCTGGAAGTAAGGCCTCAACAGGGCTCCCACCCTGGCCCAATCACCAGGCACTGGCGAGCAGATGGAACAAGTACATCAAGCTGTGGGGGATTATTAAAATGACTGACGACTGGGTATCATCTGAAATACAGCATTATTAATGCATGAGTCCAGCTATTCCCCTCCCTTGCCCTTGAACCTGTCCATTTCAGAATGAGAGCAGAGCTTTTTGAAGGATCTGAATGGCTGGTCACTGTATTTAACTGTTAAGATCCCCAATGCTGGTCACTGCATTTTTCTCCCAGCTCTAATTGGTACAGATGGCTCTTTATATCTCTTTAGCACTGTTATCTTCTGTACTCGCATTGTCAATACCCATTCAGTGCTGACTTGCATTGTTTCTACTTCTTGGAAGCATTTATATTAAGTCTTGTAGGTTTTTTTAACCACCACTCATTAATAATTCCTATTTTTTTCCCATCACATCTTTTCTACATTGTTCTCATTTTGAGGTACAAAACATTTTAAGGATGCTCTCCTACAAACAAGCCCAAGTGGATTTCCCTCCAAGTCAACCTGTTTGGTATTTTTAAGCTGTTTGCTCCTGTTTGCTGGTGGTTAGATTGATTTGTATGTGACTGTAAATATTTTCATGACCATGCCACATTGCTTTAGGTGGCTGGTAGTTAAAAAGGACTCTTCACGGAACTGAAACTTGACTGTGCTTATATAGCAAAAAAAAAAAAAAAAAAAAAAAAAAAAAAAAAAAAAAAAAAAAAAAAAAAAGACAAAAAAAAGGAAAGAAAGAAAAAAAAATGACAACAAGAACTCATGAGGAGACGATGTTTCATAAGTGTTATAAGCACTGGATATAAATTGTATTTTTATCAATTCTGATTAATGTGAAGCTGTTTGAGGAAAAACACCATGAATGAACAAAATTACCCAGTTGGACTCAAGTGGGTTTGCTCTCGCAGTTGCCAGATTAAGAGTCTTTTTTTTTTTTTTTTTTTTTTTTGTCTACTTATTTTGTTTATTTATGCAAAGACACATGATGATGAATGAATACTTTCTTTAAGCTTCAGGGCTGCCTAGGGGAGACACTCAGCACAAGAAAGTGAGCAGAAAATTCAACAGCAGGCTCGGTTAGACGTGAAACACCAGACTTCAGACTTCAGTGCATTGTATATTGTATTTGAAACTGTAGAATATCAACATATTGTATTTATTATTAGCCACTGCTGGCTCTAAAATTGTCAGTAAAAACAACAACAACATGGACAATCAAAGAAGAAAAAAACACGTTTGATGAATTGGAGCTAAATATGGTTTTCAGTGAATTCACCATCTCATTTAGATTTTATTGTAAATATAACATAGGAAATATATTTTTGTTCATTAGTAAAGTATAAGTTATGTATTTGGCTGTTCTATTTTATTTTCATTTTTATGTTTTATTTTTGTACATGGTTTCATGTTTTTAAAACCTGACAAGTCACTGTACCTCATGTAGATGCTGATTTTTTTCTCTTTATTGGAAGAGAGCAGTATTGGACCTGAGACAGAGAGAAGCACCTCACTTGCTTATGTTTTGATAATCTTCCCTGGACTATTCAAAGAACTAATCAAAATAAAAACTCATTAGACTTGTGAACATAGGAGTCATTGCAAGTAAGGTACTCATTTAAACAAAAAGCACTTGATGTATAAGAATTATTCAATTATTGTTTTCCCAATCATGATACAATCTAAGTGTTATGCTGTATATCCTCACTTGTGTTTTGTGTTTATTACAGAACTCATTATGTGGCAAATTTCTTATGGGGGGCTGATATCAGCCGAAAAAATTTGCATGCATTTGGCTTGCATTTACATTATCATGATAAACAAAGGTGTTTTTGTGAATGACTGTTTCAAACACAAGTGATGTTTTTAATTTTTTTTTTTTTTTTCCAAAAGGTGGGAGTGTGCAAATATTTATTTGTTTTAATGTGGCAAAATGCACAGACAGTGCAGCCTTCCTAGTTAATTCTCTCCTTGCCATGTTTTTGTATGTTGCTGATTCTTGATGAACATGTTCATGACTATCCAGCCATCTGCAAAGGTAGCCCTCACAATTGTTTTCTCTTAATCCACTTGTTAGACATGCAAATGGTTTGAATGAACAACTGAAGACAAAAGCTTGTATGCTGTTTCAACATTACTTACTGTAATTTGATTTTTTTTTTTTCTGTCTGAACTTTGTGATGTATATGGTGGGAATGTTCTCTGTGTTAATTTAATCAGCACAATTCACTGACATGCTGGACTGACATGCTAGCTGCTGTTCAGAAGTGTAAAATTTGTTGTTCAGGGCAACATTTATAGTTGTCTTTGGTACTTGCTTTTTAGAGTTGTCTCTCAAGCAACACTGTGTGTGGCTCTTCTATCACTGGAGCCATTGTTTTGAAATTGCTGGCAGCCTGATACAATTTTCTGCGTAGAAATCTTTTTTTTTGTTTTGTTTGTTTGTTTGTTTGTTTTTTTCCTGGCAGGTACCTAGGCCCATGGCAAGTATTGTTTGGGTGTTATTAGAGAAAATGAAATACATAGTGTCTGTTGCTGCTTTAAAAAAAAAAAAAGTTTATGTCTGAATATGTAAATAGTTTATCATAATATCTTGTACAGTCCAATGTAAAGTTTTTAATTCAACTTAAAAAAAAATGTTGCCATCACATTTGTGTTCACATTCTTCTTTATACAGTACAAAAGATCAATTATTTGCTAGGGGTATTATTGCTAAAACTAAAAAAAAAAAAAAATGAAAATGTTACTAAATTTTTTTAATGTTTGTTTTGTTTTGCTTGGCTTCAAAGTGTACACCAGCAAGTCTTTAGTTTCCATGTGCAGTATTGACGTGAGGTAAACTTAAGGTGAATAATTTTACAGTGGTGTGTGTGGAGAGCAATCTCCTCAGCTTTGGTAGTATTAATACACTATATCAAGTAAAAACAAACCAATGAGTGACACATTTGGGTGCATCTAGGCACCACAGAAATGTGGATACTGTATATGATTAAATTATCCCCACAGGATCAATTCAGGCATATTATAATGTAACACCATTTTCTGTGTGTCTCAGTCCATTGTAACAATGCAACAGT